TCTTCTTGGATAGAATTGTGACAAGAGAGACCTGGTATCCTTATCCTACAAGTCAAAGCCTAAAGAGTGGTGTCTCATAAACACTGAAAGCCGTTTTTCACCAAAGGTGGATTTCTGTGGCATACCTATTTTAAGGGGTGATATTGACTGCCTCCCCATTTGCAGCCACCCAATTGTGTATGCCAAAGACAATAGGGAACCCTTAGTGTACAAGTATAGCCACAAATACACCCACCAAGGGAAGACCATCCACAATTCACAATATATGCTCAAAACTGTATATTACATTAATTGAAGTACGAAGATGGGCTAGTGGTCTTAACCCAAAAGAATGTATAGGCCACGTGTTGGCTGTTATTCTTTACAGTGGGCATCTTCTGCCACAGTTACTTTCTGTTTGGAGGTCTATGATCATTATTTATGAATGGAATTACAGAGGAGTGTTAGAGAATGAACTTGATATTTACTTTATGGACTATATTTATTGCTACACACAATGGACTGTGACTCAAAGAATTGTACACCTTAAGTCACCTGTTGTGATGCTACACATAGAAGGTGCACATGCCTTACACGTGAATAAGGTCTCGGCTACACAGTTACCAGCTTGGTGAAAGAAGCACACACCTCCATTATTGTGAGCAATGAGAAACAACAGCTCTGAGCAGAGACAGACCCCATTGCTGAACTGTTTGTGGTCATGTACCACCCATCAACTGCTTTGTTGCTGCTTTGGTATTTCCTGCCAAATGGACATTTGGTTCACAATGAGAATGGCCAGCTTCATCAACACCACAATGGAGCATCATGATGCCAAGGTCTTCACACCTTTCCAGATGCCATCCTTTGAGCAAGGTTTTAGGTTTCAATATTGGCCACCTTTCTTAGGTAACCACCCTCCCTACATGCAACCAATAGGATTGTTTTTGGGATGGACTAACAGGTAGGTGGGCCAAGAGGTTGGAACAGTTACCACCCATCTCTTGAACACACTATAAAAGATAAGGACCATTCACCTTGCCCTTCCTAGCTAGCAAAACCCCCTGCAACATCCCCTATCTGCTTTTATTCCCCCTTGAGCCCCACTTGCTATCCCCAAACCCTTGCCTCTACTTTGATCTCTTGATCTGCAGTCAAGACACCCACACGTTCTGGCTGGTTCTGGTTGTGTGTGAATTCCCTTTGTTTTCTATTTCTTCCCATCCATTCTTCATTGGGACAACCAAGCTGCAAGACAGATAAGTATCGCCCATCATCACCCCTACCTGCTAATGCAACCGTGCTTATTTTAATACTGTAATTCTAAGGAACTTGATTGAATGTGTGAGTGCATCAGTATTGTTTGTATGAGATATATTCTTAAGTTAAAAACATCTATTTTAAACTACAACAGCCTCGAATCCTTTACTGGTAACTCTTGTTGGGAATAGGACCTTGGTATAAATTGGCAAGAACCCATTTATAAATTGCCAATTGCTGTAAATAAAGCAATTTGGCTAACAGGAGCCTACTGTTGGTTTTGAACACGTTTTTTTTGTAAAATATGCTTAATTGTTATGAGCAATCTGTTGGATTTGTGCCTATACTGGGTTATGACTACTAACCCATTTTTGTACTTCAATGAATGTAATATACAGTTCTGAGCATATATTGTTGTGAATTGTGGATGGTCTTCCCTTGGTGGGTGTTATTTGTGACCCAATTGTGTATGGCTTTTAGCCCACTTGGGTTCTCCAGACTCCAGCATCACTGTTCTGGTGCTCACAGGTGGCTGCTAGAGGAAGGGGAAGGCAGGAGAGATCTGCCTCCACCTGGGATGATGCGTAGAATTCAACCCAGTATATTTTAATGGATGCATACCCATGCTGCTCTATCAGCAAAAACACTTTGGCCATTATCAGTCCTATTAAAGATGAAGCATTCTCTATGCAAAATGCAGGGGGTGATTTAGTAACATTACATGAAATCCCTTGAAAATCTCACATGCGGCTTTAATAAAGAGAATCAGGTCAGGCAGATTAAGACCCAGGACTCACATACTATGAACTGTGTGGCTGCTGTCTCTTTACATGGCATGGTTATATACTTGCCATTGGTCTAACTACTGGTTCCTTTGAAATGAATTTCAGTACCACCCTTCCTTTTATCTGTGTCACTAATTTATGTAATGTGGGTAAAGTTTGGAGCAGCCACTGAATTATATCATAGAATGCCAATTATAAAGTCAGATCTTGAAAACATCATACCTGTTCACTGATGGGTGGGAAACTACAGAGAAGATGGAGTGTCATCATTCTCCAATAAGCACCTGATTGCTGGGCAGACTAGGGTTGCCAACTCCAGGTTGGAGAATTTCTAGAGATATGGGGTAGACCCTGGAGAGGGCAGAGTTTGGAGAGGAGAGGGACCCAGCTGGGCACAAATGTCAGACAGTCCACCGTCCAAAGCAGCCATCTTCTCCAGGTAAACAGATCTCTGTAGTCTGGAGATTGGTTGCAATTCTAGATCTCCAGGCTCTACCTGGAGTTTGGCAGCTATAGGGTGAACTGATTGCCATGACACATGTGACTGTGTGCATGCATTTGTGGTAGTGAATAAAACACCACCTATCCTGGCAAAATGTGCACAGGAAAAATACTATTTTTTGAAAAAACGTACAGATTAGTAGGAAAACTCAAAAATAGAGGATGGGGAAAAGGAATGTGCAAGCAGGCATGGCACATGAGAGCTGCTCATATCATCTCCAGATTGTACTCTGGACCTAACATAGCTATTCCTTCCAAATTGCTCTTTAGAGATCAGTTTTTTAAAAAAATTATAAGCTAGATCTGCAATTGTTTATGGAGCAGGAGTTCCACTATCTTGAGCAGAATCTTATGGAACTGTAAATACATGTATTTTCTTTTGATTTATTTACAATGTACAAAGTGGAATTTAATTAATAGTGACTTCTAAGCTCTTTAAAGATGAGCACCGCAACCCTAGAGTCGGATTCGACTGGCTTTCGAGCAAGAAAACCTTTACCTTTACCTTTTTAAGCTCTTTAAAGTATGGGGGGGGGATAAGACTTTCAAATAGATTCATTGCCTAATCTCTAGACATACCTCAGAATTTCAGTGATCAGAGAGTGCTCTTGAATATATATAAAATCTGGGCCATCTCAAAGTGACATACTTACGTGCAAGCTGGCAATGTGTTTCTCCCACTCACGTAGTTATACAAGATTGTAAGGTTGCTTTGTAGTGTATCTGATATATTTACCTAAGGAATGTGACATTTTCTAAATAGGGAAATTCCTTTTTAAAATTGTATTGAATTTTTATTGTATTGAATTTTGCCTTTACAAGAATATGCAATAATTAAATATGCAAAAATAATAATATTGGATAATCACCCTCCTGATCCATTTCATCTACCCATGCTCCAACAAATATAAAGAGTTGGATCCAACAAACTGAGCAGGAAAGAAGTAATAAATACAATCATTTTCAGGAGAGCTTGTGTAGGAATTTATGCAGTGCTATGCTGCAATAATTTATTGTTGCTCTTGTGCAAAAGATTGTGAAATTTGTTGTGCAACCAGTTGTGCAAGGAGGCACACATCTTTGGATTTTGTTATGCAACGTTCTAATGTGAAGTATAAAATGATCCTTCTGGGAGCAGAAGCCTTCTTCCACAAGCACGAAGGCATCTTTGAATCCATTTCATCATAGTCTGTTTCCAGAGTTTATCACTCCAAGTCATTCGTTCAGTTTTTGCATCTTCTTTAAACCACGGGAACATTTGTATCGATGGTACATATTTTGTTTATTTATTTTTAACATATTTTTACACCACCTTCCTATTCAGCCAGGGTTCACATATAAAAGGAAACAAACACACACAGTGGGATCAGAAACCACAGAAGAGAATCCCAGTTGGCTGAGCAGGTATATCAGCAGCAATGTTAACAGTCAAATGTAATTAGACTGAAGGTCCCACATTTTAATTTTTACATAATGAATGACTATAGTATGACATGCAGTGCAGATACTATAATTAAACACAGAACACAGCCTTCCAAGTCATTCTTTTGCACAAGCTTGCAAGAGCATGATTGTGTTGAAAATTGGCTCCTCCTTCGCTTGTATATAAAAATGCATTAGAAATAGCTATGTAGAACTGCATACTGGGTATGTTGAAAATGTCCTACTGTGTCCTGAGCTCCACTATAATCAGACTTTGGGGAAGAAAAATGTCTGCGGGTTAGCAAAAGCTTACTGGCCACACACCCCACAATGCATTAGATTTGTAGAATGTGGTACTATGCAAAACATACTGTGCAGGAATTGCAAAAATTAAACTGTAGTAGGGGAAAACAGCCAGTTTATACATAAAACTCTTCAAAGCTTGTCTTTTTCCCAAAGAAATCCTTGAGCAATTTAAAGTAGCCCTTAGTAAGGATACCAGCCTCCAGGTAAGACCTGGGGATCTGTCAGAATTACAGCTCAATTCCAGACTACAGAGATCAGTTCCCCTGGAGAAAATTGATGCTTTGAAGGGTGGACTCTGTGGCATCGTACTGCACTGAGGTCCCTGCCCTCCCCCAGGCTCTACCCCCAAATCTCCCGGAGCTTTCCAACCTGGATCTGGCAACCCTACTTCACCATTCCGCACTGGTGGCCAGGAGGGGACCTAGCAACTCTAGCCCTCAACCATGTTGATTTTGAATTGGCAGGGTCACTCTGAGAGATCATAGCATCTCATATTTGGGCTGATGACAGACAGGAAATAAAAGATTCCCAGAAAAACAGACTTCACTCCCAAAGTGCCTGCTGTTCAGTTTTTCATTCTTTCTTCATTGAGTTGCATTCTTGGACGCTAACTGTGAACCTTCCAGTCCTCACACTGTTGTCATTTACCTTTTTTTGCAGGTGAGTGAGAAAATGTAGTGGAACAGACTGGAGGAACCGACGAGAACGGAAGGTTCTCTCAGCTTTGGGATTTTACGCTATCTCACGATGTCAAAGAAGGGTGCCAGCTTTCGAGCTAAAGGAGAAAGACCCGACGCCCTAGCTGCCTTGCAAGCTGCCAATGAAGAGCTCAGGGCAAAACTCACAGACATTCAAATAGAGCTCCAGCAAGAAAAGAGTAAGGTGTGCATCTTTCTTCCCCATTAATCAAAACAAAAGTCTTCCAGTTAGCTCTTGTTTCCAAAGCACGCCCACTCTACCATGGTGGGCGAACCTGAGCATGCTCGCAAAGCCATTCCATCACTCTCTTCCAGTGTGGAAATCCCCAAATTCAATATGCCTCATCACAGTAGACTTACAATGATCATGCCTAGTGCAGTATTATGATCTGCAGCAGCAACCTTCACTCCAGGCTCTACACAATCACTAGAACTTATGCATAAAGCCTACATATGTACAGGTGTACCCATGTATGCTTCTCTCTGTGCACTTAGGAATCTTGGTTTTTCATGGCTGTGTACAGACGGATAGCTTTGTAAACCTACACTTGTATATGCATAGGCTATAAGGGTGCATTCCAATGACTGCACGTGGACTGGGGGCAGAACTCACTGCTGCAATCCTGCTTCTCTCCCAAATGCCTTCATTATACAAATTTAGAACCTCTGAACAGGATTGTTTATCTGAATAAAAAACAACATTTATCAGACAATACAATCTTTATTAGTTTCTTCTTCTTTTTAACAGAACCATGCACAATCCATAATATGAGAATTTGTTCATAAGATCCAGTAAACAATAAAAGAGGGACCCTCCTCTTAATATTGCTTTTGCAGAATGAAGCCTGAAGGCTGTTTGAGATCTATTCCTTACATGAATGTGCATTTTGATGAATTATTTAGTGGCTTCTCTAATTGGTCCCCTATGGAGGCAAAAGCAGCTGTATTTGTCAGCATGCGCCGTATTCGAAAAAGCAAAACTGCCAAGACGGGAGGACAATGGCATAAATCCATATAGCGTACACATTAAACAAGCTGACTTGGCAATTCCTATGGAGAACAATGTAGATTTTAATTCTAAAATTAAGCGCAAACAAATGATACTCTGTGGTTGACAGCCTGGAGCTTGTATCGTGATCTACCAAACCAAATTTGTCCAAGCTTTGCCTTGTATGAAAATTCAGGGTTTTGATGATATACGGAAAGGGTGGCTGGAAAATAGAATCCTGGCGGAAACTGCTGCCTAAAATTACTGTTTAATGATAAAGCTGATCTAGATGGCTGCTTTCCATGAGCATTTAACTAATGATGCAGTTGACTGTACTCAGAAAGAGCAGTCCTATGCAGTTCTACTCAAAATCCTACTTGAATTTATCCCATGGTGCTTACACACAGGAAAGTGCTCTTAGGATAGCACTGACAAGCTCACACACACAAAGAGCTCTTCTACCTGGTTATGGTTCATCTGGTACTGCCATCAAATTTGTGCCCTAAGTGAAATTTGTAAATCATTTGGAGAACAAAACAAACCAGGGCTGCGGTCACACGCAACATTAGCCACGCAAGAGATACGGAAGACAAGCGGAGTTTCCGGTCGCGATCTCACCAGCACATCTGGGAAGCGTAGCGCTTCCGTGGCACAACTGAGGCTTCCTGCCGAAAAAGCGCAGCAAAAAACTAGTACCTTGGAGGTACTAGTTTCCAGAAACTGCGGGGCAAGGGCGGGCGTCTGATCGCGTTTCCGGTGGTATCCGGCGCCCGCTCATGTCCCCTTGCGGAAAAGGGTTTTTTCCCCCCACGTCTCCGTGGATGCGCACACGCACCCAACGGAGCATGCGCATTCGTAGTGTACACGAAAAAAGAAAACCAGTTCGCCTCGCCGCGCGCTTCTTCATTGCGCGCAGGCGTGTGTTGTGATCGGCACCTCTCCCTTGCCATGGAACCTCCACAGTACCTCCACAGAACCTCCACAGTAGGTCTGATCGCTTTACTGCATGTTAGTTTGCCCCGGGGCAAACAGCCACACTTCTCCTCTGCAGTTTCCTGCCCGTGTGACAGGGGCCCAGGATGATCTGACTTTTGTCTTGTGTGGTCTACTTTTTTTTTTAGGTTCCTCGTGATGCAACGGTGTGTTTTTAATTTAGAAGGCACTTATTCAGGATTTTGTTATTGCTAAGGGATAGATCATTTGTGTTAAATGAACCTAGAGGTGCTAGTTTTTTTACTTTGAAAGCCCTTCTCTGCCAGGTCTAACATGCCTCAGAATGTGTCTCCCTCTCAAAAGTCTTTTGATATGGCCATGCTCCATATCCCTGCCTTCCAAGAAGGGTTACAGGAAGGAACAGAGCTTTTACATCTATAGGCTTGGTTTACAGAATTATCTCCCAGATGATTTTCACTTCCAGGGGCATCTGATTTCCCTTCCCCCACTATTTCCTCTTTCTCTTTTCTGAAAGCCCTCATAGCCTTTACTCTTTTCCTCTTTCCTTCTCTCCTTTCTCCTTTCAACTGCTTTCTGTGTGGGTGTTTTTAAACACACACCCCACCCTTTTTTGAGATTTTTCTGCACACCTGGGGAGATCCCCCACTTTTGAAGAAAAGTCTCTCTTCTTTCAAGGTGGCTCCAATCCACGGATTTAAGTATCTACAGATGGGGCCATGTTCACTATTAGAGATATTTCTGATGTAAAGACTACTTTTCCCCTACATTTTCTGGTTAATGGTTGGTTGTTGTCTTTATACCTTCTAATAATGACTGTTAGTATAACACTTAGTATTTTTTGAGTTACCATTTTAAAAGTTCTTGTGTTAAAATAAACTTAGAAGTGGGATCTAATCCATGAATGTTGTATATGGGAATAAAACTTTTTTTTTGTTAATCTTCAAATTATCACAACACTGCTGTAACAGATGAGCAAAGGGTAGGAGGAGGGGCTGAGTGGAAGAGTATTTCCTTTGCATGCAGAAGGTCTCATGTTCAATCCCTGGCATCTCCAAATAACAGTATATGAAGTACAGGTGATGTGAAAGACCTCTGCATGAGACACTGGATAGCTGCTGTCCCTCTGTGTTGACAATAGTGACCATGATGGACCAATGGTTTGATTCAGTATAAGGCAGCTTCATGTGTTCATGTGTATAGCTACCCCTCTGGAACTATAGTGTTAATCTGTTTTGTCCTTTATATCTTTTATATCACTTGTATATCACTTTAAAAGGAGCTGTGGTGGCTCAAGTGGTTAAGACGCTGAACTACAAGCTGTGGAAGGTTGGTAGTTCAGCGGTTCGAAACCCGAGTGTGCCGCATGATGGAGTGAGCTCCCGTCTCTAGTTCCAGCTCCTGCCAACCTAGCAGTTCGAAAGCAAGAAATTGCAAGTAGATAAATAGGTACCCCTTCAGTGGGAAGGTAACACCGTTCTGTGCGCCTTGGTGTTTAGTCATGCCGGCCACATGACCACGGAAACGTCTTCGGACAGCGCTGGCTCTTCGGCTTTGAAACGGAGATGAGCACCGCAACCCTAGAGTCGGATTCGACTGGCTTTCGAGCAAGGGAACCTTTACCCCTACCTTTATATCACTTTGAACATAAGAAGAGGCAGAATATCAATACATATTTTTAAACAAATAAAAGAAAGCATGTAGCAAGGGTTGGAGGCAAAATGCCAGCAGCAACAAAGGAAATTAAGTGGAAAAATCAGAAGATAACATTAACTGAAAATGTAGGTAGTCAGGCCCAGGGTAGACTTCCACCAGTTTCACTGAGCACCTCTGATGTCTACATGTTTGCACATGTATGATAACTGTCAGTTGGAGCATGTGTTCAGTGACCTATAGTATAACTGTTATGGGAATCGACTGGCTCTGCCTTGGATGACTTTGTTGTGCAATCTAGGCAAGGAATGTCCATTTAGCTGTGATGGCACAACGCGTGGCAGATGGCCAGAGCTTTTATATAGTGTTTACACCGCCTGGAGATAGCTATGGCTATATAATTGATGCATGTGACCATTTTCACCACTGTGTGAGTATTGGCTTCTAAGCATTATCTATAAACTAGATTTCCAAAGGGCATGCCCCACCAAACATAGCTTCTAAATAGCCCTGTAAATGTCAAAGAGTAGGCCTGTTTATATGTGCAATGAATCACTAGAGTGTTTGCCTAAGCAGTACTGGTTATTTTCTCTGGAGCTTCACAAGCATTGTCAGGATAAGTGATGATGCTGTTGTTTTCACTTGAAAAGTTTTGATTGAATATTTCTGCTCAGAGAAAGAGGAGACAATAATGGATTCTAATGTATGCATTTTACTTCAGCTACCCTTCACTGAAAGGAAACAAGGTAGAATTTTAGCCAGAGTCGAGTTCAGATTTCATTGAACTCTTTCTCTAAGGTTTACTGTTTATTCCTTAAGTGTTTCTTGAATCCCTCTACTGCTTAGATACACATCCTGTTCTAGGGTTGCCATTCCCCAGGTCCAGGCAGGGAATCTCCTGGTTTTGGGGGCTTCTATCCCCGGCCAGCTAGCTGGCCAGTGGGGGGAAACCCACCCCCATGGTGACATCACATGAAAGTGAAAGTCAAGGCTGCTCCAGTTCTGCACTGCCACAGGAGGTGGTGGTGGCTACAGGCATGGATGGCTATTAACCACAAGGAACTCTTGGTCTGGGGCAAGTGATGCTCTGTATTCTTGGTGCTTGGGGGGGCAACAGTGGTAGGGCTTCTAGTGTCCTGGCTCCACTGCTGGACCTCCCTGATGGCACCTAGTATTTTTGGCCACCTTTGGCCTGATCCAACACTGCTTCTCTTATGTTCTTATGTTCTGATCCTCTTCTCCAGCCCACACTCTCTTCTACAGGAAGAGAAGTGAAGGGACAGGCCCATCCTTTGAAGCTCCCCCTTTATTCCCCCATTTTACTTCTCATTCTGTCCCCCTCCCATATGTCCCCTGAGTCCCTCTTCCTTTGGCAGATCCCTGCCAAGTTCCAATGCCAGCCTCCCTCCTGACCCATCCTTGCTTTCCATCGCTGATGGGCCTCACACCTCCATGTTTGTTTTCTGCCAACCTCCTGGCATGCTGCTTTTAATGGTTAATATAAAATATGGTTAATATAAAACATATTTGCAGTCTTACATAAATTATGTAGTTTGGAGAGCCAGTTTGGTGTAGTGGTTAAGTACGCAGAC